TAAAAGATATGTAATCATTTTTTGTACGAACGTCTCGTCCGATTTTTAAGTTTTATGGCTCAAATTATTTTTTTAGATGCCTTGAGTGTTTTAAAATATTGTAGACACAAAATACGGATAAATTATTAAACAGGGTTTTTTTAGTTTTAGACAAAATTTCCAACAAAAAAGTTCTTTTGATGCATCGGCCGATTCCGAGAGGAAAATGAGCGAAACCTTTTTGAACTGGAGAATTTTTTTTTTTTTAAGTTGGTCATATTTTTTTATTGAATAAGAAGGATTCTTTTAAAAACTGTTAGAGATATTTCATTCACTAGCGGATCCAGTATTTAATTTGGAGGGAGGGTACTTCAGCCCAAAAGCTTTTTTTTTTCATAAAAATAACGATAATTACTTTGGAAAAAAAAAAGATAGAAACTAACTACTTTTATGAAATGGTGTTTAAGTGATTCCTAAAGTCCTTTTAAATAATTACAGGAACAATAATACTTTAAGAGATAATTTTTTAAAAAATTTTTCCATAAATCATGGTTATATTTTACCATTTTTGGGGAGGCGGAGGGGGGCTTCAGCCCCAAATCCACACCTTCCCCGTAGATTCGCCCGTAATTTCAATTCTATGTACACCATCGCACGGGCTGTACTACTGGGGGGAGGAGAGGGTTTCAGGCTGAAGTCCCCTTCCCAAAAAATGGTGAAATATAATCATGTTTTATGAAAAAAATTATCTCTAAAAGTATTATTGTTTATCTAATTACAGTCAATAGGACTTCAAGTATCTCTTAAAGAACCATATATAACCATTATATATGAAATGGTCGTTAAGTGATTCATTCTTGAAGTTTCTTTCTTTCTTCCGAAATAATTATTCTAGTATATTTATTCAAAAAAAAATCTTTCTGGAAGTCCCCCCAAAAAAATTAAATCCTGAAAAAAAAATGTCCAACAAAAAAGTCATTTTGATACATCGGTCGATTCCGAAAGAAAAATGAGTTAAGATCAATTTTTTGTATTTCTTAAGGTGTTCGCGTTTTTTATTGAATAAGAAAGAATTTCTCAAAAACTGTTCCATGGTATTTCAATTCTATGAACACAATCGTCAAGTAGACAAAATTTTCTTTGAAAAAACATTGATTATATGTACTATGGTCAATGATAAAAGGAAGGGACATTCAGGAGATCTAATAACGCAAAGCCTACAATTATGCCGAATTATTTCACGAATCGAGATTGATCGAGTGATGTGCTGCTCGCGTATGAATACTATAACTGCAGCAGTACAAGGCCGTATAATTTCTGGAATTCTCTACCTATCAAAATTCGGCATTCCCCTCCATATCCACATTCAAAACCCTCCTATTCCAATTCCTTTCCCAAAAACAGTCAGATGCTTGCTGAACTTTTGATATTATACATTTCTGTTATACCATTCATCATCAAACGATAGTACTATTCTATACTATAAACTTCACTAGAGATATTACAATATCTTCCTGCTCTTAATGCCACTGAATGCTTCTATTGTTTGTTTTTTAGTTATTTTTTATTCTTATATAATTAAATCTGTACCTATAGCTAGAATTAGACAGTGATGAGTCTACATATTACTCATTATTTAAATACTCTGACATTTTATATTGTCAGCTTTCTCTTTCCTTTGTTAGCAGAAACACACCTCATTTTAAAGAAGAACTCAATGTATCTTTATTATTTTATTTTTCAAAAGTGTATAATTATAAGTTTTCCTACTGTACATAGTTTTAAGTGTTCTGTATATAGATTTTTTTTTTTTTTTGTATACAGCTTGTTTACCTAATATTTTCTTTACTTTCTCTTTTTTTATTATTGTTTAATTTTTGCAAGATGTAGTCTTTTAATTATGTTCTATTTTGTTATTCTAAAGGGTCTTTGTCTCAGAATAAAGTTATTTTCTATTCTATTCCATTATACAATTTAATTGTCTTGAACATTTTTTGAAAAATTCCTAATTTTCAATAATTCCCTTATTCAATAAAAATCGTGACCATATTTAAAAAACACAAAATTGGTCTTAAATCCTTTCCCTATCGGAATCAAGTGAATTTTTTTATGCTAATGTTGTCTGCAATCACCCTGTAGATTCTGGCCATTAAGAACTGAAACACCCCGTATAAAATGTGTTTAATCTGTCTCATAAAAGCTATGTAAATTGGTGAACGAATGGCAGATTTTAATATTATATTATATATAATAAAATATTATTTATTATAAAGAATAATATTTTATTATTTAAAGTATTCTCAAATTGGTGTTGGCTTCATAGCACATTAAGTGTAAGATGGTGATGAGGTATGTTGACTATAAATTAAAAAGTATTTAAAAAACTAAGGTATGTGCTTTAGACCATATGGTAGAAGTGAAAACATCATTAAGGCGAGATTAAGGATTACAGATAGGATGAAATGCTGAACATTTCCCTTGCTTACAGCATGCAGGTTCGATTTTTTAGTTTCTGTGATATTTTAATCCATATCTTCAATAAAACTCGTTATTTGGTTTTTCACACTATTTTTTTTCCTTTTCGGCTCTTTAACACCGCGTTGCGTTATGATACAATTTTGAATAATATCCCATTATAGAGAGGATGAAATTCTGAACTATTCCATCGTTTACATTATCCAAGATTCGATTTTTAGTTTTTGAGATATTTTAATCCATATGCAAAAAATTTTAATTAGTCAACTTCAGCCGACTTTACCCGAGCGTTATACATCGGAAATCTGACGGTTCTCTGTAGTGCAAAACGCGCCCAAAGAAGGTACCCCTCTAGTGATTTATAATATTGATGAATATTTATTTATTTTTTTATTGATTAAAAAAGTGAGTTTTATGATTAGATCAATATAGCACATCTAGTGCATATCATAAATTTTGCCATTTTATTATTATTAGCATTTGATAAATAAAAATATTATTACGAATCTTGTGTAGAATTCATCTAAAACATACTTAATATAACAATTATAAAAACGATAATAACACCAAATAAAACAGTTTTCCTTGGTGTTATCGAGAAATGTTTGAGAGAGATATGGGGCAGAAGGGAGAGAAATAATATCGATCTAGTAATCACTACTAAATAGTAAGCTTGCCTAATCTTAACACAGCCGATCAAATTACTTTGACAGTTCAACTCAGCAGATGTTTACTATTCGTAACCTAAATGATGTATGGTAGGAGAATGAATTGAGGTCAATTGCAGGTTGTATTATGTCAAGAATAAAGACAAGCAACTAATTATAATCTACTAATCTATTAATTATAAACAACTAATCTATAATTTTAATTCCTCTCTACCGAAAGTAGGGAAGTTTTGTTTCTGATCGAAAATTTTCAATCATGTTTTACGTTTTAGACTTCAAGGAACAAATATGGTTCCGTGCTTGTCTGTCTACAGTCAAATAAATCTTTATGATTGGCATATTACTTACTACCGGTCAACAAATGTAGGATTGTTCAACAAATAATCAAGTAGGAATAAACATCATAAATTTCCATCTACTTCTTTTAAAAAATACTTCCGCTTTCCGTTGTGGAAACATATTGTTCTTGATGCGCCTGTATTATATTGATCCAAAGTTGAAAGAAATTTGGTGAAATAGGTCTAGTATCAATTTCATCAAAATCCATTTTTTTTCCCTCTACTACCCTTGAATGTCGGCAATACGGGATTACAATTTATCCTATAATAACATTGAAATAATAAATCTTTCCCTATTCTTGTCTACTTCCTCATACTCACATATTGAAATGGTCTGTGTCTACTATTTCATCAAAACCCGTTTAATAATTAAAAATACATTAACCGATTGTTAAGAATTTAATGGCTGTGAAATGTAATAAGCAGTGAATACGCAGAAGGAAAGGTTAAATTTATAAGGGAGGAATTTAAGAGGTTATAAATTAGATATTTTCGTTTGATAAAGTTGTACCTAACTAACATTTTTGACAAAGATTTTTAAAATCATAGGTACTTCTTACTTTCCATTAAAATATAATGTATTTTTTTATTTAAAAAAAAAGGCGTAACTTCGCTTATGCCTTTTTTTTCATTTTTAATTGTTTTGACTGTCTTTTGAAATATTTTATTTGAAATCAGAGTTGAAGTATTTTTTTGCTAATCATGCTCAGTAGTTAATTGTGACCCATACATATAATGGTAAGGAAACAATAATGACAATACTTGGAAAACGTATTTAACTCTCTCAACTGCAATTTAGGTTGAAATTTAGTTAATTTCCTTATTTTTAATTTTGATCAACTTCTTCTAACAATTAAATACGACAAAACGAAATTTTCAAGTAATATATTAAATCTGTCATTACTCAAATTCAGAGGTAAAAAATTATTATGACTATATCAAAGTTAGAAACTAGGTCGCATCTTATTGAAATAAACAAAAACATTTTTTTTTAACAGCGTTTAAATTTTCATTTTTTTTTTTTACTTACAGCTACTTTTTTTTAAATAATTAAAATTGACAATCACAGTTTAATGAATAAAGATATTAATCATAGTTCATTCAAACTGTTACAAGTTAGTTGAGGATGTGGTCATAAATAACAAGAAATCCTATTTTATTATGTACTAACGATTCTCAAGCCTTCATCAGGGATTATTAAACAACAAGATAACCAGTAAAAAAACAGTATAACGAGAAAATAATAATAAACAATATATACATTGCAAAGAGAAACCAAACATAAATGTGTAAACAATGAAAAATGTTCAAAGAAAGAAGTTAGCGCTTTGGACTGTATCTCTTTGTGAATTAACTAACGAGCGTTCTCGAACTACATATACTACTCTTCAGTGATAAGGTTTAACAAGCTAAGCATTACTGATAAGCATTTGAGACGTGTACTAATAGTTAATAAAGTGCAGTTTTTCATTGAAGAATGCTCAGTTTTTATAATTAGATTATTTCTGTATTTCCACATATTTTAGATAGAACCCTCAAAATGTTGAAAGCTGTCATTTTAGTTGGCGGTCCTTTAAAAGGTACTGTTCCGGCAAATAGGTTTATATTATATTTAATACTCATAAAAATATTTTTCCTATATTGCAACATATTTTTCGCCTTACGCAAACTATTAAGAGTTAATAAAACAGTAAAAGATAACGGTTGTCATTTGATATAGAATTAGAACATTACTACAAAATGTTTATTTATTTTTTTTAGAACTTGTTATTTGAGAAATATTACAACCTGTCTCAAAGGACATTTATAACAGTCTTCAGAGATCACATTCACACTCTATGTATAATAAGTAAAAATAAATTAAACAGAAAAATAATATATATATATATATATATATATATATATATATATATATATATATATATACATACAATAAATAAGAATAAAATAACTTAAAAATTATTAAAGAAAAAAAAATAGCACATTCATACCTATATACTATTTACAATCAGGTGAGAGAACTCCAAACCAAACTTGACCATCTAACTGTGGAAGGAAAAGCATGACTCCAGGATCTGGCCATTACCAAAACTCCAGTATATACAAACTATAAAAGGTCGCGGAACCACTGCCGTTTTAACCGTCTTGGAGGATTATAGGGATGGGTGGTGCTGGATTGGGATTGTGCAAGGGGATTTGGATGATAGTTAAGGTTCTGGTGAAATTTGTATCATTTTTCTGGGATATGTTCTAGGACAAATGGGATATTAAGGTCATAGTGTAGGGTTTTGATGGTTACATAGAAAAGAGCATCAACACCTCAACAAAGGACTTACCTGACGTGGGGATTACCATGTTCAAAAATCTTTAATAAATCAATAAAAGTGGTTTTTATTATTCATTTAAAACCATTTTTTGTTTTTTAAAGTTTCAGTTTTTCAGCTTTAAATTCATTAGTCTTTATATCATGTTAAGTATCACTTTAATGCAACCCTTTATACTTTAAATATCATCCTTAAGGTGGAACTATTCTTCAACAAGTTTCTTAGTGTGTGTGTGTGAATTTCAATAATTGTTTTGAATTTTCAGTTGTTTGTCAAGCACTACTTTACTCATTCACCTCAAATTTATATTTCTTTAATTTAATAATATTCAATTTCCTGAGTTAAATGGTCATTCTTTATTGTTAGAAAACAGACTTAATCTTAATTAAACATTTTTCATGTCAATTATGAAAGATGGTGACCATATTCAAATATTGAGGAATAAAAACAGCTTATTTGTTATTACTTGGTTATACTAACAACTTATGATCGCACTATAAACATACGATATGAATAGGTTTTTTTTTTTGTTTTTGTAAAAAGTTTGTTGGAAGTTGTTCAAAAGGAACTTACTTGATGATTCTGCAATGATTAACAAATTCTCCTTGAATGACTGTTGTCATTTCAACATAATTTGTCCCTCCATCTTTACTTAGATTAATCTTTATTTTATTAAAGAAATGCTTAATTTATTCTAGTCATATATTAAAAGATTATGTTAACATTTACCTATTTGTCATGTAGACTCTATAATGAGAAGAAAAAATCATAAATTATTAGTTAGGGCTGGTTTATTATTAAATATTATGTTTTCTGAAACCCTCAGTTTGCTAATGATCTATTAAACTTATATATCACAACTCTTATTTCCTGAAATTTGTTTTCAACATCATAAAATTTTTCTTTAATTTCTTTCTTTAATTAATTATCAATTTACTTCATATTTTATAAGTATCCTTTCCATGAGAGACGGTTAATTATTTCAAATAAACAAAATTAAAGTTGGTCTTCCATGAACCTTTCGTAAGATCAGCCTTGATGAAGGCCTGAACCTTGGATCTAAATTTCGGAATCAAAAATAAAAATAAATATAATTTATTTATTTTTACTTTGTTACATTTACTGGGCTGCTAGACATCGCATGGCCGAAAGAGCTCAAGATGATCAAGGTATAGGATAAAAAAATCAATATATTGTAGTTATAGCCATATTTGAAGACAAAAAAGGAAAACTGAATTGATAAAATAAAATGCCATATTCAGTTAGTTGATTTGGCGAAATAGTTATTGCAATGCAATTTCCAAGGGATGTATCTACCTTAAATATGTAATTTCAGTTTCATATGACTTTTCATTTTGAGCTAGGTTGTTCACATATACACACAGACCTTTTTATGAGACTTGGATTTAGTTACTAGGAGTCCATCTGGACAAACGTCTAACTTGGAATCCTCATACCAGACTGAAACGACAAGAAACAGCTCGACGTTTCCGACTACTTCAACACTTACTAGACATCGCTCTAACCTTCCAATCAATTATAAAAGACTGATTTACATGACTATAATAAGGCCTATTTGGACTTACGGAGTTGAGCTATGGGGCTCCACCAAACCTTCAAATTCCTCTCGCATACAATCCTTACAATCCAAAATCCTTCGTAAAATCCTCAGTGCTCCTTACTTTGTTACAAATAAAATTATTCATAATGACCTTAATGTTCCTTATGTATCAGATTTGGCCCAATCCAGATATCTGTCCTTCCATAATAAACTTCATAACCTTCCCAACCCTCTTGTCTCTAACCTTGCTTCCTATTAGATTCCTGATAACCCTACGAGGAGTCTGAAAAGAAGATGGCCACGTGATCTTCTAATATAGACATATTATTAGAGTGCTACCAATGGGTAGTTTCTCAACATGTGTTCCATATCTTTATACCAATGTGTGAATTTACCAGATGTATTTTTTGTATACAATTGTAAATATCATATAAATAAATTTAAAAAAGGATTTAGTTATATTCTTGTGGTTCTGTTTTTATTAAAATACAATTATACAAAATGTTACATTTAGGTAAATTTCTAATAGATCTAAAGTGTTAATTAAATTCATTCATTATGTTTATTATTTTTGTTTCACAGGCACCCGATTTCGTCCGCTTTCATTGGACATTCCAAAACCATTGTTTCCTGTTGCTGGACTGCCAATGATTCAACATCACATAGAAGCGTGCGCTAAAGTTCCAAATCTCAAAGAAATAATTATTCTAGGTTATTATCCTCCTAATGATTTATCTAATTTCATTTCTGAAATGGCTCAAAAACATGACGTTGTTATAAGGTATCTTAGCCAGTCTAATTAGCAATAATATATTCATTTCTTCTGATGTTTAAGTTAATATTTAATTAATTTTCAGATATTTTCAAGAATTCAGATCTCTAGGAACAGCTGGAGGAATGTACCATTTCCGTGATCAGATAATGTATATTCAAACATTACTAATATTTCAATATTTACCGTAATTATGATTCTGATTTATTGTTTATTATTTTTAGGTTTGGAAACCCATCAGGGTTTTTCTTATTGCATGGAGATGTTTGTGCAGATTTTCCCCTACAAGACATTTTGTCATTTCACGAAGAGAAAGGAAATTCGTTAATTACAATTATGGCCACAGAAACGAGCAAAGAACAGGCCTTAAATTATGGATGTATTGCCAAACATCCTATGCTTGACTATATGACTCACTACGTTGAGAAGCCATCGACATTTGTGTCCAATTTGATTAGTTGTGGAGTTTACTTTTGTTCTGTTGAGCTTTTCGAAACGTTGAAGACTACTTTTAAAAGGAAGCAGGAAAATGCTTATAAGTAAGAAGCTATTATTATTACTGTGGAATTTAAAATTATGTTAACTTCATTTATGTTTGTATCATGGGTCAGCAACTCTAAGATTAATATGTGTTAGAGCTATCAAACAATCACCAACCCTATTATCTATGGTTATTATAACCCACATTTTTTGAAGTATAAAATGTTTCTAAAAAGTTACATATGGAACTAGGGCGTTCGTGGAAAAATATTTCAAGCAATAATTCTTTTTTAGAGAGCTACCTGGTAGGAAAAAATCAGGTGCTACGGACATATCAAAATTTTCACTTACCAACCAAATTAAATAATTAAATTTCTGCTCAAATAGGGCTAGTTAATATTTAACTATTTACATTTATGATAAAGAACCTTTTTTGGGGGGGTTATTTATTGTTCCTTGGGATCTCAATTTAATTACTATATTTAATCAATATTAATGTTATTTACAAAAAAGATCTCTTTAATCCCACAATCTTCAATTTTTATTCAAATACAAATTAATTTTTTAAAAAATTTTGGGACATAATTTATTTTACCACAGAACTATTAATTTATTTATTTTATCACAAATACTAAAAATAAAAATTTTATCTCATTTTCAATGATTTTTATCTAAAAGTTTCTTCTTCTTCATGAATTAGTTCCTACTCCTAACAGGCTGTAGCTTAGACTGCTGCAATAAAAATATTAAGGCACCCTCTATTGAGTTTTATTTTGTTTATTCGGTTTTAGTGTAAAAACTTATTATTGTGTCTAAAGTTGTTATTAATATTACAATTTGTTTTATAAACCCCTAAAAACTGCTTGAAATATTTTTAGGGCCATGCACTTTCCTCACAAAAGTATTATAAAATAGTTTTTAAACAAATTATATTGTGCTCATAGCACCAGTCGAAATAGTAAGCCTTTGTAATTTATCGAGCAGGATTTGTTTGCTGTGTTCTTATACCACCATACTAAAGCACCGTTTAACCTTTTAGGCCTTGAGGTCGGCATTATCTGACAGCTCTCCGTGTCCTTGTGACGGAATACTTTTCATTACCTCTACTCACTACTTTAACCTTTTTATTTAGGGCATCGTTTCAAATCTTTTTATTTATTTTTTTTTTATCTACTTTTTATACAATGGATAGAAAGGCCACGAGATAGTTTGAAAATAGAATTCATCACCGAAAACCCCTTCATTTAAAGATATGCCGATTCCGAGAGTGCCCGATTCTCTCTCAGCTCATACATGAGTCCACCGTTAAGATTGAGACTGTTACTATAAACCCCTAAAAACTGCTTGAAATATTTTGAGCGGCATGTACTTCTCTCACAAAAGTATAATAAAATAGCTTTAAAACAATATCAGAATGACTATAATGTGCTTATAGCATTGATGAAAGGCACACAAGCCTCTATGATTTATTAAGTAAAGGTATGGTTTACTTATATTGGTATTATACAACCATAATTAGACAGCATATGAGACTATTAATCTAATTGCTGCTGTATCTAGTCAGTGGAATCATTCTGAATTTTTTTTTTTTTTTTTTTAATGAAATTTACAACTATATTACATTAAAAATACAACAAGTAAATCTGACATTGGTAACATGACATGTAAAACATGAAGAGAAACTACCCATTGGTAGAACTCAAATTAAAGTTCTATATTAGAAGATCCCAAGGCCATCTTCTTTTCAGACGCCTCGGAGGGTTATCAGGGATCGAGGAGGAAGCAAGGTTTGAAACAAGAGGGTTCGGATGGTTCTGCAGTTTGTTTTGGAAGGATAGGTATCTGGATTGGGCCAAATCGGACACATATGGAACATTAAGGTCTTTATGGATAATTTTGTTTGTGACAAAGTAAGGAGCTTTGAGAATTTTATTAAGGATTTTGGATTGTAAGGATTGGATACAAGAGGAATTCGATGGTTTAGTGGAGCTCCAGAGCTCAATTCCGTCCAAATAGGTCTTATTATTGTCATATATATGAGTCGTTTGTAATTGATTGAAAGCTTAGAGCGTTTGTCTAGTAAGTGTTGGAATTTTGAAATTTAAACTCCAGGATTTATCCACAGCACTTCTACTTACTCAAAGGCAGCATGGTACCTTTGTACTGATTTTTTCAATATGGCTTTTCTATTTCAGTTTGCTCTCAAGTGTAATCCCTTAATGCTCATTAAACACTTCAGATTTTATACTAACATCTGTCCAACTAACAGAATATTCTTAAATACTTTTTTTATTTTATGAAGAATCTAATTTTAATGCAAATTTTTAATGTGCTTATCAATTCTTTTAATCAATTGTTCTTCTCATCAAATCATATGATCTCAATCAAATCACCTCATTGCCCTACTATTGACCAAGAAACAGTTTTTCTTCTTCTGTAGTTTTTTTTTTTTTATTAATTTTTATCTTTAAAATATTTTTTCTATATTATTCTTAAATTTTATGCGAGTATTTTTTTTATGAAATAAAGTGGGCTTTTTTTTTTTTCTTTTGTGAAAGATATTTAACTTTTAATGCAATCTGCTTCAAATTTTATTTGTTTTCTTAATTTATACTACTAACAGATGGTTTTAGTGGCTTAGAGCTTAACGGAAAGGACTGTGAAGCAATGCAGCTCGAAGAAGATGTTCTCACTCCGCTGGCAGGAACTGGAAGAGGTTACGTCTACGTAACGTCAAAATGGTGGTCTCAGTTGAAAACGGCAGGAGCAGCCATTTATGCCAACCGTCACTACCTCGGACTGTATAGGACATCTCAGCCAATGAGGTATCAGTGTTATATTAATATATTTCATTTTATTTTAATTACTCTATCTTAACAGTTATTATTTAAATATGTAGTTACATATTTATAAAATACTTTGGAGGTAAATGTTTAGTTAGAATGTCATTCAATAATATTTGTAATTTTGTTTATATTTCTCTAAGAAGGCTAGATTATTTGTAGAAAAGTGAAATGATATTTTAAAATAGTTTTTAATTAATTCTATCAATGTTAAATCTCTATAAAAAAATATTGGACTAAGATAATTTTATTCTGAAAAAGAAATTGAATATAAAAATGAATAATATATAAACTAAAGTGTTGTTGTTTTTTTTCCAGGTTAGCTCCTAATTCTAAAACTGTTACTGGAGATGTCTTTATTCATCCGACTGCAGACGTTGATCCAACTGCTTATGTAAGTTAAATTGACTACTTATAGTTTTTCAGTGATGATAGGTACTTATACACACAGGTAGGATTATATATTTTTTTAAATAAAAAATATATATCTGGTGGCTTTACTTTTATTTACTTAAATTTGATAGTAACATTTATTTTTGAGAAACAATAATAATTAAAACAGCTTAAAGTTAAGCTAAGCTTAAAGTTTTTTTATTTTTATGACATTGAATTAAGTGTTGTAAGATGGTTTTGTTTTTCTTAAAGTTTTAAAAATAGCGAACTATAAAAAAAAAATTATATAGTACTGAATTTAGTTCATTCTCAAACAATCTGCTGGGATTGCTCCATAATTGAAGAGTATTAAAAGGAGCTCAGAATGAGCCAGGGAATATATATTATTTTTAACAATGTATATATTATAAACTGATCATAAATAAATGATGGAGGATTAGAAAAAATAAATAAAAAGAAGATTAGAATGTGATTGAGTCAGCTTGGGGTCAGACTGTTGTATTCAGTGTGAAGATTACATTGTTTTGTCGATAAGTGTTTTATAGTGTATGTGAGTTTATTTATGTATATCATGAAAAATTTGTGTAAACTTAAAGGCTTCCGGTAAGAATTATAAATTGTTAATAACATTAACTGGTTGGCCCATGCTAATAATTCGCAAAATATATTGTTTAGTGAAGAAACAGTAAAATAATTCAGAAATGAGTAGATCTTATTTATTATGTGAGAATTATATTTTTCTATAATTATAAATAAATAATTATATTTTCTTGGTCGAATACAAAATTTCATTTAATATAATGTATCAAAATATTTGTAAAAATTACTTTTCTAGAGTCTATTTATAAATTCTGAATATTATCTTTTATATTAAAAACTTAGTTATAATTACTTTTCATTTCATAATTATTATTATATTATATTTCATATTATCAAAGTTATAAGTTATTCGTTCCAAATTCCATTCTTCTCTTCAAAGTTTCTTTTCATTCATAACTTTTTTTCCTGAAATTTCGGATGGTTGTTATTATGATTCATCACTGCTCTATTTAATATCCTTTTGTTTGATTCCTCATTCATCAAATTCTATCGCTTCTGTGAGCCGGAAAAGGAATCATTATGGGAAAAAACTATCGTTTTATACTAAAAACATAGATAAAAAACCTATACCATTACAACCCATGAAGGGTCTTGTTCAGTACTATGTGAGGAAGTGCTGTTACAAGGCCAACAGTTGAGTGCAGGTAGGTGATTCGGCCTAAATCACACTCGACCGCCATGTTTTCTTCCTTCAATTAATTATTTAATTAAGAGTAACCACTTTATAGAGGTTGGGTTTGCCCCAGTAGTGTCTCCCAAACTCAGGGTCGATCCACGGCTTATGAAAAATTACTAGTCATCAGCCAGATTCGAACCTGGTACATTGAGCTCTGGAAGTCAGTGCTCACCCACTGAGCTACCCTGCTCCTTAAAGATAGATTAATAAATTGTTAAATTTAATTTATCATTATTTATCAAAACTGCTCAGAAAATGTAAGAATATATCTATAATCAAACAGAGAATACGTATATTATTACAACTTCATGATTCATAGCATACTTACTGTTACAAAATAAAACTCATGTTAAAGAAAAATTCTACTATTATTAAGGCATAAATGTTTCAGATTGGTCCAAATGTTAGCATTGGGCCTGATGTTACGATTGGTGCTGGAGTAAGATTAAAGGATACGATAGTTCTGGACGGAGCGACTATAGGAAGCCATACTTTAGTGATCAATACTATTGTCGGTATGTCAGTATGTTTTAATAAAAAATTTTAAATATTTATTTGCTTTTATCAAAATAGTTTTATGAGATTCACAATTTGTTTTTTAAATTCTAATTAATGTTAATTTTTCATTTTTTATTTATTTAAGTTTTATCAAACCAAGTTTTTAAATAATTTGAAAATATTCTTTTTATTTTGGAAATTTTATATTTTCTATATTAACCTTTTTTGCTGCTGCGAATGACGAGTTTTACTTCTATCACAGCACTAAGAGAGATGGTTATCTGTTTGCTGACCAGTGCTACATACTTTTTACCAGCATTCCAAATATTTACCTCGATTTTGATTCGGACTGAATACCAACACTGACAGAGCAAAAAAAAAAAAAAGGTTTTTTCTGCATTTAAATAATATTCTATTTATGTTTCACAATGAATAGTTTTTTAGAACAAACGTCTTCATCTTCGGTACATCTGTTTTTTGATGTTCCTTCTTAAATGATGAGATGGCAAGACTTCTTCATCACTTTTGGCATTAGTAATAAATTCAGCATCTTTCGCATCAGTAAATCATTATTTCTCCATTTCAAAAAAATAATGGAACAAAACACACACAAAAAAAACTTATTACTAAAAAAAAACTAAAATAATGAATTCTATAAACTAAATAAAGACGAAGAACAATTGAAGTGAGGGTTGTTTCATAAAGAATCCAAAAAACAAAAATGAAAATGGTCGATATAGCAAGAGAAAGATCAGGACGGATAGTCAACCACAACAGTTCGTGAATTCTATAAGGAAATCTCCAAAGTAAATCTCCACTCCATCTGTAGGCTCTAATTAAAGTTTTATTTCACTAGGAAACAAGTAAATGAAGCACAATGGTGTTAGCTATACTTGTCATTAGCAAGTGGATAGAAAAGCATCAGCATATACTGTCGTTAGTAACCAAGCATAGTCTTTTGCGTCAGTGTTTGCCATCTTTAACAGTTAAAGGATAAATGCAGGCTCCTAAAAAATTTAGATCTTTAAAAACAAAATTAATAAAAAGTACATCATTGTGTTGCATATTTTATTCTTTTTGGCCCTTATGAAGACTAATAATATAAGTTACAATGTAGGCAACCAATAAATATAAATAAAATATAAAATTAAAAACAATATATAAAAGACTTTAAAATAAATATAAATATTATGTGAGTGACTTTTGAACTAACCCCTGACCAACCACTTAAATTAGAACTATGGTCAATAATTTTCATATCATTGTCATTTATCCTTTGTAATGTTTTCGAAGATAATTAAGTATTGTTATCACATTTATATTGATTTACACAGGTCGTCACGTCAAAATTGGCAGTTGGGCCCGAGTGGAAGGAACTCCGTGTGATCCTAATCCTAACAAGCCGTTTGCAAAGATGGACAACCTACCACTGTTCAACAAAGATGGAAGGCTCAATCCTTCTATAACTATTCTAGGTAAAGAATACTGTTATAGATAATGATATATTTAATTGTATTTTATTAATAAATTATAATACTTTGATCGAGAAATCTAAATGTGTAAATGGATTTAGATAATTCGTGAGATCAAATTGTTCCAGCATGTTGAAATGTTTTTAACAAACTGTGGTGGCTCTCCTTGCGCTCAGAAAACATACTATATTTTGTGCATTTCATAATTTTCTATTTCAAATAAAAATCTTGAATTGTTCACAAGAATAATTTTAGAAATTGGTGACGGTTATAATGCAGGGTCCGGATTTTTATGCAGTAAAACCCCACAAAATATACCATATAATATGCTGGGTGATAAATATTCAGGACGCAGTCCTTTTTTTTTTAATTTTTTTTCTATTTTTGCCAACGTTTCAACCCAAACATGTGGGTCATCTTCTCCTCTAACCTTGTTTACTTACCTTTTGCTATCTGAAAAAGGACAAGTGGGAAACCCTCCCTCCCCCTGACCTTTTTACTTACCTACCAAACATGTGTCAGTACATGAACAACCTCAGTGCTCAAACCACAGTTAGTAAGAGAAAATATTACAAATTTATATAAATGGATTATATACATTATTTTTTATTTTTAGTTTGTATAACTATTTTAATATGTGTATTACAATATTAGTTAAGATTCATGTGCCATCAATCACTATAGTTTATTATTTATAATTAGCGGTCGTATACTATTATATCTCTGATTGTAATTTTAAAAAAACATTTTCAGCCCTGAAGATGACCCACATGTTTGGGTTGAAACGTTGGCAAAAATAAAAAAAAATTTAAAAAAAGACTGCGTCCTAAATATTTATCACCCATGATATGTAGAACAGTCGACTAACTTCCTTCAAGAATTCATATAATATGCAATAAAAACCATCGAAAATGCAGTGAACAAATCTCTAAATATACAATAAATCGTCCGAAATGCTATGTTTTCGTGTCCAACCGAGATCATGCTCAACCGCCAGGTTTTTCCCCTTAATCAATCATTTTAATTAAGGGTACCCACTTTATAGAGGCTGGGTGTGACTGAGGAGGGTCTACCTACCCAGGGTTGCCCCACGGCGAATGAAATAGAATAAATCACTTTTCTGCCATTAGCCGGGATTTGAATCTGGGACCTGTAGCATTGGAAGCTCTGTACCCTACCACTGAGCTACCCCACTCCACTAAAAATATGTATGGTTAATATAAGTTCTAATTTTGTGTTAATTTTTTTGTAAATAACCTAATAAAGTTTAATTATAAATAATTTGTTTTGGCGGAAATACGAATAGCCTTCCGCTTTTATATCGGGGAACTAGGTTGTTTACACTCGTGATTATTAAAACAAAACCCAGGCACTGGATATAGACTTGTTGAGGGTGTTTAACTGTTGTTGGGAATTTGGGAATCTAATACCTTTTGTAACACTGAGTGACAAGAAACTATAAGTATATATATATAATGTGGGACTTAGTAAATACACTTTGAATGAATTGACTCACCTGGTTTGTTATTCTTCAATCGTGAGGGATATAGGACAACTAAATAAATAAATGACTTTTCACTCCTGTCTAACAAAACAATTTATTTCTACAACTGTAATAAATTTACTCTATTGAAGTGTTATAACTATAGACTTGATGTTCTAAATCTTGTAGTAGACTTTTAATGTCGTTCCGCCTCAATGTCTCAGCCTCAAGTGCCTTCTTCTCTCCCTGGCATCATTCTCCAGCTGTTGCTACCTGCTCCGTCCTTCTTCATCGATTGTTTATCGATATGACTTTTCAATGAATAATTTGTCCACTGCACAATTGAGTACAATTGATTGTGCAACCTCCTATATATTCCTACATTCCTATATATTATATATAAAAAAATTGCATGTTAATTTTAAAAAGATAAATCATAAAAAAAAAATACCAAATACTCAAGAAACTTGAACCATGTTTATTTCAAAAGTAAGTAGCAAAGTAAGGTTACTTTCCTGGTACCCCTGGTGATATAAGTATAAATATAAATAAAGTTAAGTATAAATATATCAAGAGGATGGTAAAACCTTGTATAAACTTATTATATATTTTCCTTTTAGGTTGCAGCGTGAAGGTACCCTCAGAGGTTATTCTTTTAAACTCCATTGTTCTTCCATATAAAGAACTCACAAGAAGCTTTAAGTATGAAATAATTCTTTAAATTGTATTTATTATCCAAATAACTATATTTTATTTTAATAAAATATTGATATAAAGTAGTTGATGGATTTATTATTTATCATATTTATTAAAATATTCTCTTCATCTAAATATACAGGTTGTCCCATAAGTAGTGAGAAATATTTAAAAGGTTGGTAGTAGATATCAACTTCTACAAAAAATGTTCATATAAACAATTGCCCAATTTCCAGCAGAAAAGTAGATAATTTAAGATTTGTGTTTTTTATGCGAGTCACATTTTTTATTGAAAAGGAAGCGATAAATTAAAAAGAATTTTATTTAAGTAATTAAACATTGCTCCATAGTAAACTAGACAAAATTTACTATAAACAAAAGTAGAGTTTGTCATTGTTAAAACTACTACAAACAAAATACAGACCAACTGTCTAATGGTGGCCTATTGATTTGCTAAATATTTTTATAAATAACATTGCTTTAAAATGGTGAGGAAGTGAAGCAATAACAATACAGGGCCTTCTTGATAATCCGAACACGTAAATTGCATGGACTGTTCAGATTATCAAAGGTTAAATTTTGAATGATGTAAATATTGCACAAGATAATGAAAATATAGTATTATCAGTTACTCATACACTCCAAACAAAAAAAATATTTCTGAACATGATTATGTAATATATGTTGAGTCTGTGATTTTTTAGCTAAAGAAAAGCCCAATCTCACAAATTCCATAAAATACCTGGCTTTGTACAGCCTTAAAATACTAGTCGATATTGTATCCATCCGTCCACTCTAAGCAAATATTAAGTGCCTTTATGGCATTTCTATGACTTATCTATAATGAAAAATAAAATAGGTGTAAAGAAGTTTTCAGTAAAATAATAATTAATACAACAAACATATCTCATACCTGCTTTTGAAATTATCAAGCCAACTTTTACTGGCATTAAAATCTGCTTTGTTATCTTTCTTAAAAATATATTAAAGAAAAATTTTGACTTTTAAGCTAATATATCTCTGGAAATTGGACACCCTAGTGATCTCTGCTGCAAAAACCACATATAATGAGATTCCTCAACTTCTGGATGACTGTCTGTTTATATTTGTTTATTTAGAAATATTACATTCTGTCACATCAAGGACATTTATAATAGTGATCAGAGAAAGCACACTCACACTCTATTTACATTAAAAAAAAAAAAATAAATAATACAGAAACTTAATAATAATAAATACAATAAAATAAAATTAAAATAAATACAATAAAATAAAATAAATGTATATAAACAAAGAACTAACCTAATCATACACACTCGGGCTTGAGTGGAGGATCTGGCCATTGCCAAAACTCCAATAGATGCTTATTTACAAAAGGTCTCTGGGCCACTGCCGCTTCAACCTTCGAGGAGGATTGTAAGGATGGGTGGTGCTGGATAGAGATTGTGCAAGGGGATTTGGATGATAGGTAAGGTTCTGGTGAAATTTCTAGTATGTGGGTTCCACGTTAGTCTTCGGTCTAAATGAAAGCCAAGATACCGGACTGTGTCTGAGTAAGGAAGCTGGATGGAATTAAAGTGTACTGGTGGACAGGAACTGCGTCGGAGTGTAAATGTAATATGTTGGCATTTAGATTCATTAACTTTAATGCGCCAGTTATTACACCAGTGCTCAATCAAGGTGAGGTGGTTTTGGAGATTTAAGGATGCTATGTTGGGATCAGAGTTGGATGATAAGATTGCGGTGTCGTCAGCGAATGTTGCAAGAAAAGTATCGGGATGAACAGGGATGTCAGCAGTAAAGAGGATGTAAAGCACGGGACCCAAGACGCTGCCTTGGGGAACACCGGCTTTAACGGAGTAGATATTGGAAAATTCTGTTCCACAGCGAACTCGGAAGGAGCGGTCAGATAGGTAGGATCGGAGGACTAGGTACAAGGACTGAGGTAAATGGATTTTAAGCTTGAAGAGCAGTCCGGAGTGCCATACCCGGTCAAATGCCTGTGCAATGTCCAGAAATGCACCCGAACAGTATTCCTTGTTTTCTAGGGCTGAGGAAATATGATCAACAACTCGGAGTCCTTGTTGAACAGTAGAATGTTGGGAGCGAAAACCAAACTGATGGGAAGGAATATTTTGGGATTCTATAATGGGTAGGATTCGTTTCAAAAGGATCTTTTCAAAAATTTTTGAGAGGATTGGGAGTAGGCTAATTGGTCTATAGGATGTTGAGATATTGGGAGGTTTGCCTGGTTTTTGGAAAAGGATAATAGTGGAGTGTTTCCATAGCAGAGGAAAGTGGGTGGTGCGTAGGATACAATTGTAGATATATGTAAGGAATATGACTGCTTTGGATGGAAGTTGTCGAAGGATTTGAGGGGTAAGGAGATCATGTCCAGGAGCTTTACGGGGGATTAATTTTTTTAATTGAAATTTCACTTCGGAAGGATGAATAGCTTTTGGGGGCAAGGAAAGTGGGATTGGTGATGTAAGGAGTTCTTCTACTGTTACGGTGTGGGCAGGATGGGATTCCGGATGTGAAATAAATGTATTGGATAGGTGAATGGCGAACTCCTCAGCCTTATCTTCGTCAGATGCTGCCCAGGAGCCATCATCTCGTCGGAGGGGATGGGAAATGCGGTGAGGATTTAAGATTTTGGTAGTGGTTTTCCAAAGGGAATTGTCGCGAGAAGAAAGGGAGGATAGGTAGGAGTTGAAGGAATGTGATCTGAAGGTGGCTAATTCCAGTTTTAATTTTTTGCAGTAATAATTATAGGAGCAGCGGTCGGTAGGATGTCGGGTACGTTGCCACAATAATCTGGCACGGCGTTTGGTTTGGATTAGGTCAAGGAGGTGTTGGGGTAGAATGGTCTTTTTAGGAATTCTGGAGGAGTCTTTTGGGAAGGAAGCAGTCCAGGCGGCTTGTTGGATTGTGGTAGTAAAGGAATTTACGGCACTATCAAGGTCATCGGGAGTTTTGAGGGATATGTTAAGATCAATTTTATCGGAGATGATTTGGCGGAAAAGGTCCCAGTTAACTGGGCCCCTAATAAATGACGGTGGAGAAGGTTTGGGAACGGGTTCAAGTGAAACATTAAGGATTAGAGGACTATGGTCAGAGGAAAGTTCATTTAGACGTGTAATGGAACAATTGAGGGGACTTAAGCCGCTGTGGATAAAGAAATCAAGAAGATCAGGATTACGGTTGGGATCTGTAGGCCAGTAGGTAGGAGAGTTGGGGGAAAGGAGGTGAAAACGTTGGGAATTGAGTGCAGACAGCAGGGTTCGGGCACGAGTATTCTGTCTAGTTTTAATGTTTTGTTTTTATACAATACAATCCCAATCTACTCCTGAATAACTCACCTATCTCCTTCCATACTACCATTAAAAACCTTAATGTTACCCTTGATCAAACCCTCTCTTGGAAACCACACATCTCCCAAATTTCCTGTCGTACTATTTCCACTCTGAAACAGTTTAACTATCTATGACATATCCTTCCATTCAAAACCCCTCAACTCCTGTTTTACCCCATTTCAACTGTAGCTGTATGTTATCTATAAGAAGAACTCGAACCCAAACTTAAACATCTGATGAATTGCTCAATATGCTATATCTTCGGGATCTCGAGAAATACTCATATTACCCAATATTACACTGAGTTGAAGTGGCTTTTTCGATCTTACCGCCGTCAGTACTTCTTTTCTACCTTCCTATACCAGACTATTAGAACTCAGTGACCCTCCTATATTCTACAGAATCTACAATTTAAATCCTCCATTCAATTCGATACCTCTGACCTCTATACTCCTCACCAAACTGCTGCATTTGACAAATCCTTCATAATTCAAACTGTCTCCCTCTGGAATTCTATCCCTCCCGATATTCGACACGCAGTCAGTTTCCTGTACTAAATCTTTCCTTAAGCACCTACACCATTCCCAATCCAATTGATCATAAAATGTACATAAGAGTCTAAGTACTCCCAGTTACTATTTTGTTTATTTATTTTATCTTTCTATTACCTGTATTTTTACTTTATATTACTAATTATTTTGTAAATATTTAATTAGTTATGGACACATTAACATGCTTATTCATATTCTGCATTTCCTGTTGAAACTCCCTCCTTTCAAGAGTCAACTTTAATTTTGTCTTTATTGTTTGGATTATCGCGACCGTCCTGTAATAATAAAACCTATTTGTTTTACTGGAGGCTGATTCTAAATAAACTATAAAAATAATAGTGTTCTTTCGTAATAATATAAAAAAGTAAAGCTATGTATGTTATTTCACCACATTTATTTTCTTTTTACATTGGCTACATTTCAGCTAGGGTGCCATTTTCAAGCCACCTGTAAAACCAAATTCACAATTGATTTCATAAAAGACTGCATTTAACATGTTATGATGGTGATGTTAGTCATCTTTTAAAATCAACATTATATAAATTATAACCTTAATTGGGTTGAGTCAATATGCTAATTTACAATATATATAGTCCATAATTGGATTATAGTCTATGTAAGTGTGGTTGGGAGGTTACACATTGTTATATTGTTGTTTCTACTGTGTACCCATTAAGGGCTATTATTAAATCATTTATGAATGATGGCTTGAAAATGGCATCCTAGCCAGAACGTAGCCAATGTAAAAAGAAAGTAAATGTGATGAAATTACATACTTAGCCTTACTTTATATTATTATAATTAATTTCACAAAAAACATAAAGTATTCCTTCGTATTTTATTTATCACTTCTCAAAAAATGATCCTTTAGAAAGTACTATTTGATATTTTATCTGTAAATTTTTATTACTTACCTTTGCAAGCAATTAATGTTTTTATATTATTATTTATTTGATTCATGATTGAGAATGATTATGAAATAAATAGATGATTGTTAAGATATTTATTTTGAATTTTTTTTATTACAAGATAAATATTTTATTACATCCTATTAAATATATATGTTTATTGCTAAATTCATTAATTTATATAATGACGTAAATACTAAGATAATAAGAATTCCTTTGGTGAATTGGTGCAAGTAGTACAATCTGAAAAATAAAATTCAGTACAATGATAATTTAAAGAACTTCAGTAATATTTCAATTGACAAAATTTGCTCTGGTTTTACCTCCTTAGTTTTTTCATATGTAATTCATTATCTGCTAAATTTTCTTTTAAAAAGTACTTCTTCAGTCCTCGGTGCCCCAATAGGATAATATCTGTCTTATTAAAATCAGAAGGTGGTCTCGTTAGAAATACTTCAGCTTCATCCGCTGATAATTTCTCCCACAGAGCATGATATTTTCTGTTGTTGAATTTTATTTCTTTCATTGTAAACGGTGACAACGCTTGAATAGCTTGGTAGATTGTTATAGTTAATTTCATCAATCTGAAAATTAGAAAAAAAACTAAGGTGTATGCTTTAGATCACACAATAGAAGTGAAAACATCAATAAGACAAGATTAATAATATCAAATACACATTATAAATAATAGCTCATTATAAAGAGAATGAAATACTGCGAATTTCCTTTGCTTACATTATGGAGGTCCAATTTTTAGTTTCTGAGATTTTATGAGATTTTTAATCCATATCTTCCATAAAATTTGTTCTTATTTGGTCAATAACAGTCCATTATAGAGAGAATGAAACGCTTAACATTTCTATTGCTCACAGTATACAGGTCCGATTTTTGGTATGAGATATATTTTAATCCATTTTTTCAACTAAACTCATTATCATTTGGTTTTTGAAACTATTTTTTCCTTTTCACCTCCCTAAAACGGCGTTGCCTTAAGATACAATTTTGAATTATAGCCTATTACAGAGAGAATGAAATGCTGAACAATTTCCTCGATTGCAGTATGAGGCCCATTTTTAGTTTCTGAGATATTTAAACCATATGTTAAATCATTTCAATTAGCCGACTATACCGCAGCATTAAAATCTGACGGATCAATCTAATTCACTCCAGAAAAAAAGGCAAAATGCACCTAAAGAAGTTTTCACTTCGATAAGAAAATATCTGTATAAATAATTATGTAAGACTGTAAATGCATTTATCAAAACTAGTGGTCGAAATTCGACTATAATCATTTTTCAAACTTTTTTCATTTTAATCATATATATTCATACATACACTTTTATAAGTACTTATAATACAAAATAGTACAGTGCTATTTGAATTATTCATAAATAAATCTGAATTTATCGTTACTTTTTAAAAAAGAATATTTAAATCGACTTTACATCTTCGGTCTGTACAAATTGTTTCATTTCAATATTGTGCTCATACTATAAAAATATGCCAAATATAAACAGAAAAAAATATCTGTTATATCAGACATGATTCTTTTCGGCTACAATGATTTTTTTATCATTCTGTAGGAAATTCTGGAAAATTTCAAATACTCAATAGATTTTATGAACCAAAAATTGTCAAGTTTTTGAGTTATTCACAAATAAAATTATGAATCCATCATTACTTTTTTTTTAGCCTCTTTTTGGGGAAGTACATTTACATATCTAAATTAAAAGGATTGTAAGAAGAATAGCCAATTCTCATTAAAATTGTTACAGCCATTTTAGAACTAGAGTATATAGTGACATATTTTTCATTTGTCATTTCAAAACAAAAGGCCTCGTGCTCTGAAATGTATATAAAAAAAATTCTTAATTTGATTTCCACATTGTATCATAATCCACATTGTAAATTTCAAATCAATCTGTGAAGAACTTTCTGAGATAAGCAGTATTGAACAATTAACTTTTACATTTTTATTTATATACACGGTTTCCAAAATGTTTTTGTTTATAACACTAAAGCTTGTAAATAGCTACAAAAACAAAAAAGAAAATCGGTTGAGAAACAGAGAAGAAAAAAGAAGGTACTGAATTATTTTGTCTATCTATTCATATAAGGATTATTCAGTTGTTTTATATATTATTATTTTAAGAACTGTGAACAACAATATAAAAGTTTCAGAAAAATGAATTATATATCATATCAACTCAGAATTAACATTTCAATTTTTATATAAAAAGCTCATTTATTTTAATTTTGTGAAAAATCAAGGTATAAGTTTAGAAGATCCAAACTTCATACCATTAATTTTATAGTCAATTATAGTTATTGATAGATATTAAAAATAATATGATCCGCAAAACATAAAACTGAAGTAGAGAAAAATTAAAAAATATTTGTAGAAAACCCTTGTTTTTAAGCCTTTTTAAAAAATCGTAGTGTTTTTATTAATATAAAAAGTTAACTTTTGAATGCTATTTCAAAGTTTTTATTCAAAAAAGTATTTTCATTTCCTTCTAGGGGAGGGGAGGGGATTGGAGGAAGTGATTTGGATGATTGAAAAAAGTACTTGCATAAATACTTATTTTTTTAAACCAATTTTTAAATATATTAAGTAATTAAATTATTTTTCAAATCCGGTAATAGGACTAATAAAAAAATAACCAGAGGTCTAAATTAACAAAAAATAAATAAATAATAAGAAAAAATTAAAATTAAAAATAATTGTTTTTCGTTTGAACCAGAAGGTTATTCTCATCTCTAGTTTTAACGAGCTTCTGCATATTTGGCACTCATAACGATTATCCACTACATTTTATTTAAATAATATTCATCCTAATTTAAATTACCTTCTTTCCTTTTTCATTAGATACAAAATCGAATCGATAAGAACAGCTGGTATGACTTGTAAGGTGTAGAAGAGGAAGTGAAAATAAAAGTCATTTGTGGTTAATAACAGGAAAGGGTACCAAATGTCATTATCAAAAATAGTACTTCCGTCATTCATCCCGTCACTCAATGCTGTCATTCCTAACTCTTTAAAAGTGACTGCCACGGAATCAGCATAAGCACAATTGTATATTGATAATTCGTTATTCTCACTGAAAAATAATAATTTCAAAATGTTATAATAAAATAACTAAATAAAATGACTGTCAACTCAAGCCTGAGTTGAGCCATTGGCTATATTTTATATATAGACAAAATACATAGAAGCGATAAAAAAGAAGTAAAATACATGGTCAAGTGGCATTTTTGCGAAGATGAAGTCGTTTGCTAATAATTATTAATAATTTCATAATTTTGACAATACTGTTTCGTTTTGAGACATCTAACAAAATCTCTACTTCACAAAAATTTCAATTGATCAAAGCTTCTTCCAATCTGAAAATTTTTTAAAATTAACTAAAATGTGAATAACAATAATAATAATAATATAATCAACTATTATAATATAATATTAAATAAGTATAATAATATGATAAACTGCTACTCTTAATAATAACTAATAATAATTGTTGTTTTTACTTATGCATAATTAATATAAACTGCTTGATCTAATAATTTTTCAAATCAGTGGCTTAATAATGGTAGATAATTTTCATTTTACTTAAAATAACATCTTAATAAAATCTTCTCCTGTCCACAGTATCCTTTCCAGGCCCAGTCCATAAGTTTTGAATTGTTTTTAGAGAATTATAAATAAAAATCATGGTGTAATAGTAAATTTGTTGGATTAAAAAAAAAAAAATAAGATTTCTGGTTGAAGTAAAACATATATTGACATAATATTTTTTAAAAATCAATTATAAATGTTCCTAAATTACTATTACAGAAATTATGTAAAATAAATTAGTTTTTTGTCTTCAATGTTATTAAATATTGATATATCAATATTATTGTGGTCACAATCCATGGCCTATAGGATTTAGTGGAGGTTTTAATGTAACCTGCAGGCCATAAAGCTTGCATCAAAGAAGGGATTTTTTACCGCAGCTTTTGATTTTTCAACAATATCGAGGTCATCAACATATTCCAGAATTTGAATATTTTTGTTAAACTGGTTTTATTCAATAATTCTCTTATACCTTAAAGTTAAATTCTTCAGATCAATCTCTTGATTGATCAAAACCTTTGAGCAAAACCTTATTTTTGCTTCCTTACTACCAAACGTAGGGAAGCATTGTATTCGTGCGAAAGTTTTAAAAAAAATTTGTGCTCATAATCGAAAATTTCTGTTTGATTTTAAATTAAATAAATATTACTTCTTTCTTTAATAAGTTATTTAGGTAGTTACTCATTATAATTTATTCATAAACCCTTCATTCAGTATTATAAAATAAACGATTCAAATAAAGTTATATCTTCTAATGAAGTAGTTATGCAACCTGATGGAAGAATAATTTGATAAAATAATTACGAGTTCTTGTCCCATTGCTGTGGAGGCTTTTAACTCTGGTATTAGTCTCAACCCCTGACCTGAGAAAACCCCTTAAAGCCTAAAAGGTGAAGAAGGAGAGGACAAAAATGATAAAAAAGTGGCCAAGATCTCAATATGCTCGCCTATCGTGGCTTCTCCCCCGTAACATATGCCTGTAGTAGACATCCCCCTGTATTTACTCCGTTAGACGACATTGTGTGAGGGAATGAGAAGGAATATACAATATATGGGAATGTGGGGTTGCACTGTGAATTGTACTCAATTGTGCAGTGGACAAATTGTTCTTTGAAAAGCATTGAACTTACTGCAATGAAGACTTTGTTAGACAGGAGTGAATATTCATTTTATTTAGTTGTCCTATAGGCCTCACAATTGAAAAATAAACCAGGTGAGTCAATTCATTCAAAGTGTTTACAAGTCCCACATTTCACATATATATTCTTATTGTTTCTTCTCACCCAGTGTCACAAAAGGTATTAGATTCCCGAATTCCCAACAGCAGTTTAACACCCTAAAAAGTCTATATCCAGTGCCGGGGTTTTATCTTGATATTCACGAGTGTAAATAATCTAGTTCCCCGATATAAAAGCGGAAGGCTATGCGCCTATTCCTGCCAAAACTAATTATTAACATTTAACTTTCTGTAGGTTATTTACACCACAATGAATATTGCTCATCAGAATTTTTACCGTTTGGATAACCTTAACCATTATTAATTCTGTTGACTCCCTCTGAAGCATAGACATCCACTAGTTTTTTCCATTTGTCTCTATCAGAAGCAATCCTCCTTGTCTCCTTCCGTGGTTTATCAACCCATCTTAATTTCTTTTCTTCGGGCCTGTCTCTCTTGATCTGTCCTTCCTCCTTTTTCCCCGAGGGTTCTATTTGGGGAACCCATTATTTCCAAACAGATAGGTATCTGGTTAGTGGCTTTTCATTGTTCTTCATTTTAAATTTATATCAGTTAACGAAGATGTTTAGTGGGCAGGTGATACTTTCCATGACTGGACAAGCTTAAAACTAGCATTTATTTACTTGTCTAAGAAGAAGACTAAGAAAAAGTTTAACATTTCATTAATTTTCTGTAAAAAATGTATTCTATCCTAGGGTAAGTTTAATGATTACAGTAATTATTATACCTATTTGCCTTTTCCCAACTGCTAATTATGAGGGCATTTATGGCAACATCAACTGGAATATAATCTAGGCAGCAGTCACTTCTACCTTTCATGACCCTCATGACCCCTTTTGTGACAGCTGTTGAGATTCCTAAGAGGCCGTACACATTGTCTGTCCAACCAGGAACGGGATCACTGTAGATCCCAAACACTGAAAAATAATTTGACTAAACAATTTCTTACCCAGAAAAATTTCGTAAGAATTTATTCTAGATATACTTTTTTATGTGAATCATACAACTTTCATTTATCAACTTACTTTCATTTTAAATCAATTAATAAAATTACTTAAACCAAAAATATACAATATAATTATTTTGAATATATATTTTTGGTTTGTCAAGCTGAAAGTTCATTTTAAAATTAACCATTTAATTTTCATGGAAATATTATTTTCCAAGAAAAAATTTCTTTTGCATTCAATAGTATAAAAATATACGTTATTAACTGCAGCTGTTATTATTCCTTAGTGCTTCATTACTCCACATTACCTTCTACAAAGTCACATTAGCAGATCCAGGATTTAATTTTGGGGGGGCTTCAGCCCGAAAGATTTTTTTTTTCTAGTATATATATATATATATATATATATATATATAACAATAATTAATTTGAAAAAAAAAAAAGAAACTAACTACCTATATGACATGGTGTTTAAGTGATTCTTGAATTCCTATTAAATGTAATTACAAGATCAATAATACTTTAAGAAATAGTTTTTAATATTTTTTTCTATAAAACATGGTTATATATATTTTACCATTTTGAGAGGGGCTTCAGCCCGAAACCCCTCGAGCATTAATTACAGTTTTGATAGAATTCTTTGGTGTAGATATCGCTGATTAGGTTTTTAAGGACACTGAATACAAATTTACTATATATTTTTTGATAGCGCTAGCGTGTTTCTATTTTCTGTTACTGTTGAATTATTCCAAGATACAGGGATCATTCATATGGTTTTCAAGGGTTGTGGTTCCAATTTTGAGGTTGGATTTTTTATCGATTATCGTACATTATCGACCCCTCTGTTAAAAATTAAAGCTTTTTCATAGATCCCCTCTCCTGGAATCACCATATCCCTCATATCTCCTGCCGTGCAATTTCTACACTCAACTATTCTATTGCTTCCGCCATCTCCTATCCCAAAATACCCATAGACTCCTAGTTTCCTCTCTCATCTTTCCTCACTTTTATTACAGCTGTTTGGTGTACGACGAGCTCCATGATAGACTGAAAAGACTTATGAATAGATTCGTAAGATTTGTAATTGGAACCCTGAGACGTTCCTGTGTCTCCCACCACTACACTGAGATTGGTGGCTCTTTCCCTCCTTAACAAGACAATATTTCCTAGGCACATTCCTTTATCAAATCATTCGATCATCGTCCTCGCTATGCCTACATTCTTCTCCAATTCAAGTCCTCAATCCATTCCCTCACCTCAAGTTCTCGACCTTTTGACCGATACATCCCTTCTCATAGATCTGCCTCATTCCAAAATTATGCCTTATTCAATTTGTCAGGGATTCATGTTTTGTGCACACAGTAGCCCTTGCTTAGTTGTATCTCTGTTGTCAGCTTTTATATATATTGGTCTCTTTGAACATCCTTTTAGGGAATTTTTTTTTTATAGGTGATTTATTATATCATATTTCAGTTCCCTAGAGTTAAAGAACACCATGCCCATTTTTTTTATTACATGATTTATTAACTAAGAAATACAATTTAATAGCCCAAAGTTATGGAAAATTGGCTCCTGTGAACAAATACACAATTTTTTAAAACTACAGTATTTACGATTGATTCGGGGTGCCTACCCTTGAGCAGTACATTTTTAATTAATATTATGCTTACATAATTAAACTAATAAGTATTATAAAAGTTATTTTATTTTATTATTTAAATAAAATACTTACCAACTGAAGGTCTTGCTATGACTGCAGGGAATTTAGAAGAATATTCTTCTACTATTTTTTCACTCAGTGATTTTGAGAATGTGTAAGTATTTGGATGATCCTCTATGATTCTATAATTGATAGATAATAAATAATGTAAAGTTAATATTTTGATAATGAATCATGTTCAATTATATTAATTATTTTTTATATTTACTTGTAAGAGATAGTATTCATCACTGCAGGATTTTCTGTTTCTATTAGTTTTAGTATTACCCTCCAATCCTGACATGGTTCATAAAGCTTTTCTTCATAACAACTTTTTTTCAAATTGTGATTGCAATATGTTGTTGAAACATGAACAAATACCTTTAAAAAAAAATTACTATTTGGTTGCAAATATTTTTTTAATTAATTATTCAATATAAAATACTTTACTCACCTCAAGATTATTAATTTTAGAGGCTAATTTACACATCTCTAAAGTTCCTCTCGTGTTTGAGAGGATAGCTTTGTGAAGTGGATCGTTGAATCGAACTGTAGCTGCTGAATGGAAAATTATATTCACTCTATTTTTCAGCTCCTGTAGAAATCAATGTAAAAGAATAAAAGATTATGTTCTTACTTTTATTCACAGTATCTTAATGATATAAATATTTCATACCTCAATAGATTCTTCAGATAGCCCTAAATTGATGACAGACAAATCTCCTTCCAAAATGGAAACTTTTTTCCATTATATCAGGTGCTTGAGCTAAGAGTGGTTCAAATAACTAAAAAAATTATTCTATGTATTAGTGATGAAAACTTTTAGCCTTAATACTTATAGCCCTCCAACAGTGGCTGATTGTATTATTATTCAATAAAAAAAAAGGCTAAAAAAATAAATGTATTAGTGACACTTAGGTCAATGGTCTATTTCTTATACCTATGCTTAGTTATTAGAGAAAACCTGCTTTTATGCAATTATAGTCTTCTAAACATCTTATGAAACTAGTACGCAGACCAGTTTTCAATTAATGTTTTCTGAAAATCATTCACAAGGAAATTGAATATTTAAGCAATCTGATGTAATCTCCCCACAAGGAATACCAAAAATGTATTTTTCTTACCAATGAATTCCAACTGGCTCATAAAATCAGACCCTCTGGGAACTGTTAAATGAACAATATTTGAAAGCATGTAAAATAAAAATATTCCAGACATTTGACAGCCCACACCACACCTCGGAGTTTAGTTAAATATGAACTTTTCTTTGTATTGTTAAAGTGAAATCTCAAACTTACATATGTTCTTTATAACTTAAATTCTATTACAGCTCCAATTCACGCAATTTATCACAAATGATATCATATCCAACAGGCAAAAGCGAGGTGTCTTGATTAATACAGATGCAATATAATTAGAGAAACACCAATTCCAGCTGTTGCTCTCTACTCGGCTAGTAGGAGTACTATGACAGGTGTAGAGATGCCTATTTGAACAAGATTCAAAACTCATATGGGTCTATCTAAACATGCGGAATGGATATCACAACTTAAATATGGCGTGGAAGATATTCTTGGGATGGACAAGCTTAACAATCTGACTGAACACCTACGTCCAGGAAGGGCAAAGTTGTGCTAGATGTTCTCGGTCATGCCAATAAACGCTCAGTACAAGGTTTCAATTATCACGAGGTGTTCCTTACTCTCTCTGACTCTTTTCTCCTTTTATATTAGCGACCTTTCTGACTCCATTCATCATTCCCGCTATCACTTATGTACAGATGATTTCCAAACTTACTTATTGTTCCAACCTTCTTAGATGCCTGAGGCTACCCTAAAACTGCAAGAGAATATAGACTGTATCCACAGGTGGGTAGAAAAAAAGTTAAATGAAGCTGAACGCTGATAAAACTAAGGCAATCCTCATTAGTTCCCTTCCTTTCTGTCCTGTCTCATCCATTTCTTTCCAACAATCAAAAATCTCAGAGTAATCTTTTATCAGAACCACTCTTGGATTAACTACAATACCCAGATTATTTGAAAATCCATAAATATCCTTACACAATTCCGTGATTATATTCCAAAAAACACCAGACAGCTCCTTGTAACATCCTCAGCTTCAACTGTGGCTACTTGCTGTGTGGAGGTCTGTCCACAAGACTGGAGGAGAGACTAAAGAGACTCATGAATTGCTTCATAAAATTCATCTTTAGGATTCCAAGGTGTTCCCATGTTTCTTGCTTATACACCGAGTTGAAGTGGCTCTATCCTACTTCCCCACGGCAATTCCTTCTTAGTGTGTTCCTTTTCCATGTCCTCAGAACCAAAAGTCCTCCATAACATCCTAGAACTCCTTACTCTACATTCCTCTATCCACTAATCTATATATCCTCTCCCATAAATAAAACCACTTCCTTCAGCAAATCCTTCGTCCTTCATGCTACTTTTTTTTTCATTTAATAGTTTGTGAAATGTTTAAATGCACCTCAGAGAAACACCATCATAATTTTATGAAAAATGTAGTAGTTTTCATTCATATATATGTGCAAATATGTCTAAATATAAAATACTAACATAGACTATTTTTTTTATTATTTATTTTTTGGGAGGGGAAAGGGTTTGGTCTATAACTTGTGGATGGTGTATCCAAACAAAAAAGCTAATCAAAGAATGTTAAATTAGTATTCACTCTATATAAATAACTTAGTTTTTTGGTTATGTGGTATGGTTGAAAACCTTGGTTAACAAGTGATCTGAAACAACTGTCAAATATTGAGATATATTTCTATGAATGATCCTGTAACTTTGAAATGAGCTTTCAAAGAGAAAAAAAAATGTATTTAATATTAATGGATGAGAAAACGGTCTAGTAACCTTGTGATTTACTAAATTTCATATTTTGTAAACAATTTTCAATGCCTACTGAATTGGCGAAATCTTTACTGGTTAGTTGTTCGCCAACATTTTAGTGATTCTAGACTTTTTCTTTGAAATATTTCGATTATGTCATAACAATCTTAAGTCTCTTGTTGAGTTTTAGATCTTTTATATACTAACATCATATTATAATTTAAAAAAAAAAAAACTATTTATATTTTAATATGAAGAGTTTATAATTGAAACATTAAAAAATATTTTAAAATAATCTATGAAAAATTATTTCATTGTTTATTTGACAGGTTTGTAGTTTGTATTTTATATATATATTTACAGGAGATAAATAATCAGGAAGCAATCATTTTGAGATTTTTTATTGTCGCTGACGTTTCAATACAAACATGAGGGTTATCATCTGAAGTACTCAAGTATGCCCTGATGATGACCCACATGTTTGGGTTGAAACATAGGCAACAATAAAAAATGACTGCTTCCACAGTCGACTAACTTCCTTCAATATGTATATATTCAGTGTAATACATATGTGTCTGTATATATATATATATATATATATATATATATTGTATGATTTGTATGAATTGTATTTATTTTCCGAGCATAAAAATCCAGTCTCAGATTCTTTTTAAAGTGTTAATCCAATTAAGTAAAAACTCTGTGGAAAAAAGAATTACTTCATAATGCATAATATACCTAACAAGGGCTTGCTTTGATTTGAGGCTGATTATAAGCTTAAGTCTAATATTGTTCATTAAAATTAATATTTTTTCATAATTATTATTTAATATTTATAATATAATAATAATTAATTTTATAATTATAAGCATACCGCATCCTTTATTATTTCATCCCATCTTTCCTGTGGAGTCTTCCCACGTTTTGGTCTTATGATGAGATAAATTTGTTTCACACCAGGACATGTCCTAAGCAATTTTTCAGTCAAAACTTTTCCGAAAAAACCTGCTCCTCCAGTTATTAGGATGGTCTTATTATTCATCCATTCTCTTATACTTATCATTTCTTATCGGTAAAATACCAAAAATATGGAACGATATGCCTTTAGCTAAAAAAATAATAATTAACTTACTAACAAAAAAATATATTACAATTACAAATAACATTAAAAAAAAAAGTAAAAAATAAAATATAATAGAAAATACTCAATAATACATAATAATGTTCATTTTGTTGGACATTGATGTATATATGATATGCTGGACCAATAGCAATCAATATTTTAGCAGCATAAATTGATAAAGTATTTCTCGCTTTATTTATTGTTCTTTTTTTTCAACCGGTATGAATCTATATTAGTCATTACCAATGAATATGAGTGATATTAAACATTGACAAGCAAATATTTAAAAGATGAAATGAAAAATTTCTTTCCAATCCAAAACCGTATGATTTCTGTAAGCGCTCAGTTCTTGTCCGGTCTACATATCATTCGTAATTAATTGTTAAGAAACTATTTATCTCTATTTGTGTATGTTGGTTTTTGCATGCGTGTTAATTTTTATTTATATACGTTCTTTCAACATACTTCTTATTTATTGAAATATTTTATTTATAATAATTATTTGGCTTATTTATTTTTACTTTCAATATAATTTCTGTTCCATTTATTTATAACAAAAAAAGATTTCCTTCATATGAAATAATATTAATAAGACTGGGTGAGGAAAAGGAGCGATTTTAATGAGGACACCGTTGAAGCATGGCGAATGATTGATAGGATGGAGTTCTAGAAGGAGGCAGCTCGGATTAGAGAAGATTTTCAAAATATAGCAATTTGGTGAGAAGGATGGTAGAAGTCAGAAAAACAAGATCAGGTTAATTAAACGGGATTGGAAGGAAGATTTAAATTGAAGGCTCTGTAGTATGCAGTATGGACTCTGAGAAAAATACTGATACCTGTGATATCGGTAGACCCACTTCAGCTTAACATAATACTGGGTTACAATACATAATCATAATATGTTACTTCGAAAGCAACTGAAAAGCAAATCTAACTAATTGTAAGTAATTCATAAGCCGTTTAAGTCGAGTTGTGCCTTTCACCAGACAGGCGTAGTCAAAGTGGGATACATTATTTGAAGTAAATAACCATTTCACATTGTAATCTACTATAAAAAATGGTTAAATATAAACTATGACAAAATTTGATAATTAACTAAATGTGAAATAATGGATCATAATAGAGAACCAGCGAGATAGAGGAAGCCATCAGGAAGCTAAAGAATAATAAAGTACCTGGGATTGATAGGATCCAGCCAGAACTCGTGAAATACAACGGGGATGAGCTAAGGAAGGAACTCCACAATATGATAGTAATGATCTGGGAGCAGGAACGGATGACAGAGGACTGGGCGAAAGCTGTGATATGCTCGATACACAAGAAGAGAGATCAATACGACTGCGGAAACTATCGTGGAATCGCACTCCTGTCATGTGAATACAAGATTCTATCAAGCTTTCTTTTTAAATGGCTGTCACCCTTTGCTGAGGGACAGTTAGGGAATCACCAGGTAGGCTTTAGAAGAGGCAGATCAACCACTGACCAGCTTTTCTCATTAAGAATGACACTTGAGAAGTGTAAGGAGCAGCAGATCACTACTCACCATCTCTTTGTCGACTACATGGTAGCGTACGACAGTATAGATTGGATAAAGCTGTACCAGATCCTTGAGGAAATGGGAATATTTAAAAAGTTGATGGGAGCCGATGTTTTGGAGGAGTTCTGCACAGATAATGGAGTGAGGCAGGGAGATGCACTCGCATGCTTGCTCTTCAACCTAGCCGCCGAAGGAGCTGTCAGGAGATCAGGTATTCAGGTTGGTGGGACCTTGTTCAACAGGCTGATGCAGCTGCTGGATTATGCTGATGACTTTGGCATAATGGCCAGATCCAAATGAGCTCTAAGGGAAGCATTTCTCGCCCTCGAGGAAGCTTTAAAGTTTGATTAAGAGTAAGTCAGCAGAAAACAAAGTATATTCAGGTTGGAGAGCTAGGAAACCATGAGGAGTCCTTTGAGATAGGACAGTACAGATTCCAGGTGGTCAATAACTTCGTCTATTTGGGAAGCAAGATGACTCCCAAGAAATTAACAGAAGAAGCTAACAGGTGCTACTACAGCTTATCCAAGAACTTTGGGGGCCGGTTTCTTTCAAGGAAGACAAAAATCAGCCTGTATAAACCAGACTATAGAAAACTATAGTTCCTCTAGTACTAATTTATAATTTATGGATCGGAGGCATGGGCCATTAAGAAGGCAGATGAAAAACGGCTCTTGGTGTTCGAAAGAGGGATATTGATGAGGATATATGGACCCATCAAAGTAGGCGAGACAGGGAGAAGGAGAACCAAGAATTATACATGCTCTTTGAAGATAGCGATATCTGCAAAGTCTTAAAACTGGGAAGACTTCGATAGGCTGACCATCTAGCCAAAATAAACAACGAAGAGATTCCGAAGAAAGTGGCCATAGAAGAGATCTCAGGGACAAGGAAAGTAGGACTTCCGAACGTTAGATGGATGGTATGACTGAAGATGCAAAGACTCTTCTAGGTTAGGGCCAACTGCCTTAGGCTACTTGAGCCCGGATTCGGTGAAGAGTTGTTACGCCATTTTGTGTGTGTGTATGTGTGTAACAGAGAATCGGAGGAACCTGAGCTCGCAACCGAGCTTGGTCAAACAAATTGTTAGAATACGCTCTCAAACATATCACGTGGTTAATACAGTATGGTCTCCGATAATATTATACAAATATACAAGTGAGGATAAATGCTAGCGTTAGGATTACTTAATATTTAATTGTATAGAGTACAGCGATATAAAAATTTAAATTTGTATATATACCAATGTTTAAACAAATAAAAATGTCTACAATGAAGTAATAATAATAATAGCTTTATTTATAGAAAATTGACATATATACAGTGTAACTCAGCGCCACGGGCGGATCTACGGGGGGGGAGGGGAGCTTTCGGGCTGAAGCCTTCCCCCCCCCAAATGCTAAAATATAACCTTGTTTTATGGAAATAATTTTTTTTTAAATATCCCTTAAAGTATTATTGTTCGTGTAATTACATTTAAAAGGGCTTTAGGAATCACTCAAACACACTAGCGGATCCAGGATTTAATTTTGGGGGGGGCTTTAGCCCGAAAGCTTTTTTTTCATAAAAGTAACGATAATTACCTTGGAAAATAGGAAAGAAACTAGTGTTTATGAAATTTAGTGTATATGAACTAGTGTTTAAGTGATTCCTAAAGCCCTTTTAAATGTAATTACACGAATAACTATACTTTAAGAGATAGTTTTTAGTATTTTTTTCTGTAAAACATGGTTACATTTTACCATTTTGGGGGGAAGGGCTCCAGCCCGAAAGCCCCCCCAAAATGGTAAAACATGGTTACATTTTACCATTTTGGGGGGGAGGGCTTCAGCCCGAAAGCCCCCCCCCCCCCGTAGATCCGCCCGTGCTCAAACACCATTTCATATAGATACTTAGTTTCTTTCTGTTTTTCTAAAGTAATTATCGTCATTTTTATGAAAAAAAAAGCTTTCGGGCTGAAGCCGCCCTCTCCCCAAAATTAAATCCTGGATCCGCTAGCGCTCAACGCTAAAGACATACCTCGTGGTTTTTTTTATAACCGTCTGAGGGGAGTCTACTAAAGCACATAATTTAGAAGAAGAAAATAAATAAAGCAATTACATCCTCTTGAAAATTATAAACGCTAATATTTGAGATGAAAAAAAGAAACCTTACTGGTGTGATATAAAACAAATTTAAACGTTTATACTGTATAAAATTTAGCATGGTGGCCACTGGCGGATCAAACGATAATTAATTTGAAAAAAAAAATAAAGAAATTAATTATATATATGAAATGGTGTTTAAGTGGTTCTTGAAGTCCTATTAAATATAATTACACGAACAATAATACTTTAAGAGATAGTTTTTACTATTTTTTTTCTGTAAAACATGGTTACATTTTACCATTTTGGGGGGGGGGACTTCAGCCCGAAAGCCCTCCCTCCTAGATCCGCCTGTGATGGTGGCTAATAATCGAATTATTTTATTAATTCATACCTGTATTGCCAGGCTAATCTACGAAAGCTAACAAGTCTATACCATTTTTTTCCATCCAATTCAAATAATTTTTGAACTCTAACACATCTAATCTTGTTTCATTAAAATATTTTATTTTAACTTCAATCAGAATGGGATACACAGTGACATAATAAAAAACATTTTCTTCGACTTTCTGGTTACAAAGAGAGCATAATTTATTCTCATTATGAAACGTATTCTTATTCAAATACAACAGTTCACTTCTAGCTTTTAATATCCAACTGATTGCGGTAGAATCCAGTTTATTATCAGGAATTCTGGTTGAGGCTTCAGCTATTCGTATAATATGTGGTATTTACTATTTTCTGCTGCTAATTTATATTGGATCGTTAGATTTATTTTAATTTTATCGATTATCTCATTTAATTTAATATTGGGCGTTTCCGACTACTTCACCACTTACTAGACAAACTCTCTAAACTTTTAATTAATTACAAAGACCCATATACATGACCATAATAAGACCTATTTGGACTTACGGAGTTGAGCTATGGGGCTCCACTGATCCATCGAATTCCTCTCGTATCCAGTCCTTACAATCCAAAATCCTCAATGCTCCCTACTTTGTTACAAATAAAACCATCCGTAATGACCTAAATGTTTCTTATGTTTCAGATCTGGCCCAATCCAGATACCTATCCTTCCATAATAAACTTCAGAATCATCCAAATCCTCTCGTTTCTAACCTTGCTTCCTCTTCAATTCCTGATAAACCTCCGAGGCGTCTGAAAAGAAGATGGTCCCATGATCTCCTTATACAGACATATTATTAGAGTGCTACCTGTGGGTAGTTTCTCAACAAGCGTTTTCAAGTGATTATATTCTTGTGTACACAATTACTTGATTTATTTATATTGTAATACAGTTGTAAATATCATGAATAAATAGTTTTTAAAAAAATCTACTGCATAACTATTTTAAATTACAAAAAATGTCGTCATAATCTTCACATCTTTCGCTCTACTTTGAATAGGAATTATTTTCTGGAATGCTGGGCTATTATAAAATTTTTTGAAGTGCATTTTAAACGGAGCTAAAGCTTAAAGCTTACATATAACAAGCCATTAAGACCATTATAATTACAAAATGTCTATTTAATATATCGACGGTAGACAATAAAAATCTAGTCACTCCATCTGCTTTTATAAACCACACAACCACCGAATGACTAACTCTAATTTCAACATTTTTGAGTAATGGCAATTTAGTGATATTTTTAGTTGAAAAAGTTATCTATGCAGACAGTGAGTAAGTTGATGCCGGAGGTGGTGATTGCAGTGTTGAAATATAGAACTGAGAATAAAGGTATAAATTTAGGTACTTATTTCTTATGAAAGATGTTCTTAGAAAAGATACTTTATTAAATATCTGTAGAAAAAAAGGTTTTTTTTAGTCTCAACAATTAAAAAAGTATATTTTAGATTTATCCAAATTTTCGCCTCTTCAGGGAAAAAAAACTAGAGGCCATATCTTTACTCCTAATTATGCGATTTTAACGATATTTTTTTTGTTTTTTTAGGAACGTCCATAAACTTTTAAAAAACCATATGCAATATCAACAAAAAAGCGTATACTTTTTGAGTTATTCGGAATTGAATTTTACTATCCCTCGTAACTTTTTTTCCAGCTTCTTTTCGTTGAAGTATGTTATATAGAGAAATTTAAAGGGTGTCGAGAAAATGACTTTAGCTAAGTTTCATTGAAATCGGTACATTGGTTTAGGCGCTATAGTATATAGTTATCAGTATATAAGTACTTTAGAGGAAGACATAAATGAACATTGGCCATTTAAGCCCTGTAAAGTTAAATCACTTAAATTATATAGACTTAAATTATATTAAATACCACTTAATTATTAATGATACACCGAGTTTAATCAAAATCGTTAGAGCCATTTTTGAGAAAATTGTAAAAATGTGTTTCAGCGTTCATTTAAAGTGGCACTTCAGGTTAGCCGATTTTAACAAAAAAGTTTCTGTCACGTCCGGCCCATATGCAAACCTTAAATACTTAATATCAGTTTCGTACTACTTTTCGTTTATGAGCTAGACTGTTAACACACACACAGACCATTTTGCGACACTTGGTTATTTGGACTCAGGGTACCTCAAAACATGTATTTCCGTTGAAAACTAAGATTCGAAAATTTTCACGATCGCAATACTTACCCTTACTATATATTACATGTATACGTAAGTGAAAGTAAAAAAGGTTGGTAAGTGAAAGTTATGTGATGCGTGCACCGCTCCAGATTTTTACTTTCATTTAATCTTATATAAAATATTCAGTAATGTAAGAACCTTTAATACGCTACCTCAGTTTCATACGATTTTTCGTTTTTGTGCTAGATTTATCACTTAACTTGTCTCAGAAGAACTAAAAACGTGTACTTCTTTTGAAATCTGAGATTCGGAATTTATCATGATCGCAATACTTTTCCTTAATATCTATTTCACATAAGGATAAATGAATTTAAAATGCATCACATCTCTTATATGACAATCTATTTTAAAGGTTGTTTAAAATTATTTAGTTTATCATAAAATTTATTTTACCTGATCTTTCAAAAAAATTGGGAACTGTGTCCTGTGTCCTGTCTTCTTGTAGTGTATCTTGCCCTAGTTATAACTATGAAAGCATCAATTATTAATAACAAGTGCAATTATTAATGTTAATATTTAAATTATGTATGGTCATTTCCTCAATCATTATTCTGCAAGGTGATATAACATATTCAGTTTTTGTTTTGTTATTAATGAACTATAATTTATTCCTATGCAACTATTCATGTAAAGATTTTATAGCATATTTTCATATCAAATTGATTGAAGTTACATAATTTTATTCATATTTGATATATATGAATTCATTAACTAAAGCAAGTTACGTGAGCTAGCGGCCGAAAATTTCAAATTAGCGAATAAAGTAGATATAAAAAGTAGAAACTTGACTAACTTCAAAGCAACAAGTGCAATAAATAATTCAATAGAATTAATAATTGACATCATAAAAGATATTCTAATTTAAAACTAATTCATTCTGGTTAGCTTCAACATTGTAAATTTGTTTACTAGCATTCCTTTAATAGAATGCGAAAAACTATCCTATATATTATTTCTAAAAGGTGTTTTTTTGGTCGGCACGCCATAACATCGTCAATTCTCATCAAATCCAATGATCCACCACTCAGTTTGAAGATATTCTCCTTCACATGCGAAAAATAGTCCTATTCCCTCGAAATATCTGGGAAAAAGTTATGTAGAAAAATAAACTTTATTTGCATAAAGTATGCATTTTTTCTTGATTGTAGAATAGAATAGAATAGAAAAATAATTTTATTCTGGGACGAAGTCCCTTCAGAATAACAAAAAAGTACAGAAATTAAAATTTTACATCTGGCCAGATAAAAACAAACATAACAAATTAAGATAAAGATAGGTCATTAAAGAAAAGAAAGGAAAAAAATATTGGTTATACATACTATATACAAAATAAAATAAAAAAATCTATATAAAAAACTCTTGAAACCATACTAAGATACTTAAAACTATGTACAATGTTAAAATATAAATAAACCCTTTTAGAAAAAATAAAAAATACAGAAAAAATAAATGTATATTCTTCTTAACAGTAAAAACTGTTTCTGTTGAAAAAAAAAAAAAAAAAAAGAGAAAAAGAAAGTCGAATCTATAATAAGTATTCAGGTCTATTGTACACATGATAATTAAAAAGATTACCAAATCACAAAAAAAATTGGACAATTACTAACAAAGATACAGTCCATTAGTTTTGATATACTTTATAATGTCTTCTGATTTAAAGATATTCCATTTAGGAATAGAATAGTCTACTACATTTGTTTTCCTGGCTGATATATTAACTTTATTATTTCTTAAAGACATTTGGTTGTTCTTAAATTTTTTTTTTTTTTTTATAATTTAGAATATCCCATGATCGGGGCAGTATTTTCTCTTAATTATCTTTTCAGTCAGCTTTTAACTATAGGTCCTAGCAAAGCAATTTGTACAAATATTTTGGTCTATTATGTTTAATGGAATATTGTAATCGACCAAGGAAAACATATTAAATCCTTCCTTACATAATACATAGGAACTACTTATTTCCATATTGTTTTGCTATTTCTTTACAAAATTGAATTTTCTGCGAATTTTTCACACGGGCCAACTAGTATGAATTATTATTATATAAAAGTAAATCTAATCCATATGTGCTTGTTTATAAATATGGTGAAGAAATAAAACAATTAACCTTATTTTATAAAGTTAATCCATTTTTATATGAAGATATTAATGGCTCTCTTCTCATTGTGTTTAAAACACATTTTTTTTAATATGAGAAGGAGTTGATCGGGGGGGGAGGGTGCGATCAAATAAATACTAAATTAAACAAATAGTATTATTTAATTTTTGCCGACGTTTAAACCCACTTTTCAGGTTTTCATCAGGGCGTAGGATGTAGCACTGCGGGAGGCAGTTGAAACTCAATAATACTGTTTGGTTAATTTAGTATTTATTTGACCGCACCCCCCGATCAACTCCTTCTCATATTATATCAACGGTCAACCATCTCTACATCATTAATTTTTTTTTAATTTAATAACAAATTTGTCAAAAAGGACGCTTTGCCGATGGACTCTTCATTATCCCCACTGAGTGCTGAGCTGTTTATAGATAGTCTACAAAAATATATATGTATATTCTCTACGGAAGTTTTTAAAACACATGTTCGACATTGGTCCTGACATGTTGACGATGTTTTCTGTATATGGGAAGGGAACATGACGAATTATATAAATTCGTTACAGATATCAATTATATACATACCAATATAAAATTCACAACAGAAACAGGTCCAAATAAAATTAACTTCCTTGACTTGACCATTTCAATTGATAATAATTCATAAATATTTGAGATTTATAGGAAACTGACTGCTACAGACATATAATATGTACAGACATAATCACCTATCTCCTTCCATACCATCGTTAAAAACTATTCCCTCGATCAAAGCCTCTCCTGGAAACCACACATCTCCCAAATTTCCCGCCGTACTATATCCACCCTAAAAGAGTTTAACCATCTACGTTATCTTCTTCCGTTCAAAACCCGTCAACTCCTGGTCTCCTCTCTTGTTTTCCTCCACTTCGACTATGGCTGCATGGTGTACGGTGGATTCTCGGGAGAACTCGAAGCTAAAGTTAAACGTTTTATGAATCGTTCAATCAACTTTATCTTCGGGATCTCTAGAGAAACGCATATTACCCAGTTCTACACCGAGTTGAAGTGCCTTTATCCGTCCTACCGCCATCAGTATTTCTTTGCTACCTTCCTATACCAGGCCATTAGAACTTGGCGACCTACAATTATTCTTACTGTTCTACAGATCCTACAATTCAATCTCATCACACCAGATCCCGTGCGTCCGACCTCTATCCTCCTCCTCACCGAACTGCTGCGTTTGATAAATTCTTATTAATTCAAGTTGTCTCCCTCTGGAACTCTACACCCTCAGATATTCGACAAGCAAAATCAATATCCTCTTTCGAATCTCTCCGCTTCAAACAGCTACTCCATTCCAAATCCAATTGATCACGAAATGCACTTAAAAACCTAAACTGTAAGAATTTCAAAGTACACCCAGATACTCTGATTATTTTGTGATTCATTCATATCTTGTTTACTAAATTACTTTCTCTGTTTATTTTATATTTATATACGGTTTTATATCTTTTTATTATCTACAATTTTATTGTAATCGTCCTATAAATACTAAACTGTTGTTTATGGACGCACCAGAATATTAATATACTTTCTGTATTTGTAACTAGTTCTAAAGGGACACTAGTCCCAGAATAATAAAATTATTTTCATTCATTAATTCAAATAATACCGTGCCACCCTTGGTTACGAAAAATCGTGCTAATAGTTTACAAAAAATGTCTTTATTCCTCAAAAAAATTAACACAGAAAAGTCAATCATTTTTCATATTGCATCAAATAATGGATACACGACAGAAATTATTGAAAAAATATTCAGGAAAATTGAAAGACAAAAATTTTAATACACAACTTATAAAAGTCTACAATATAATAATATTGATGATTTCAGAACAATTACATATAATTCATGATACTTATAAAATTAATACTATTTTTAAACAAAATACAAAAAAAAAAATTGTGGCCCTTAAACCTTTTACAAGTTTAAAATATCTGGTGTGTCCACTCACACGACTTTCCTACCTATTTCAGAAAAGTTTTTATATCTTTAAATATGTTCATGAAGAAACAAAAAAGAATTGAACTAGATACATTTTCCTGAAAATTGATCAAACATAAGATTTGAGTACGATTTATTTGATAAACTAAAGCAATGTTAACAGGCTTGAGGTAGATCAGTGAAACAATTTCAATACTCAATAATATTGATGATCAAAAACTTTTTGCCATAGCTTAGTATTGTCAAACAATATTTTTTGTTAAACGTAGAGGTAATAGTGAAGCTTGTGAAATGAAAGCAACAGATTTTCTTACTTTCACTGAGTTATATTTTTTCTCTCATTCATCCCTTTCTGACACCAGGATATGAAACCGTAATCTTACATTAGAAATTGAATAGCTGTAGCTTCGTTAATAGTTGTCCAAAATGAACGATTTTTATTTTATATGTAGAGAATTTCATTACCTTTCAAACGGCAGGCTAAACGGCGTATTTCCCGGACTCAGGAGGCTCTGAAACGTATAGATCCGTCGAAAACCGCATGTCGGAAATTTGACCCGATTGCAATACTTTCCTTACCTAGTATAGGTAGGAAAGTAAAAACACGATCTCCAGGACTAAAGATCGAGTCCTTGATCCTTTAAAAAAGAGTGGGCTCTATTGGATAGAACAGTAAAAATGTTCTGCATTTTATATCGGGCAGGCGGAAAGAAAACTAAAAAGCAGAATAAAAGAACACCTCCATGAGTCAGGCCATGCATCACATTTTAAAGATCATTTTTTAAATTGTTCCCACCCACAAAAAAGTAATAAGGTAAAACTGTTCCATACCATTTCAAAAGGGAGAAGAATGGACTTTTTTGAAAAATTATAAACTAAGAAAAGAATTATTAAAAAAACTAGCTGATGTACCCATCGTTGGCAGGTGGATAGTTAAAAAATTTGAGAATTTTTCTTTAGATGGATTTTGTATTACGGGGGGAGGAGGGTTCAAATTCAATTTCATAAAATTGGGTCGGGAGTAGAGAGGAGGGTTGTTTTGAAATGTTTTATGGCGGGGCTTATGGAAGTCAAGGTTTCACAAAAACTTTGTTATTCGGCTATTTGTTTAGGTACTATACAATTAAACCACTATCCATTAAATTTGTTTAATGGAATTAAGGGTTTAATTTTCATTTATGATGAAGCGGATTGTGGAGTCGATTAGTCAAAAATAGTTGTAGTCTCTCTACTTCTTTAAACTCTGCTGAGTTTATCGCTAGCAAAATAACAAAAATAACATTGGAGATTGAGTCACATCCGTGTAAAATTAGAACTTGATCTGAATATTGTGGCGGGCAGGATGAAATTTTCGGTATTGTTTTTCTTGTTTTCCGGCTAATCCGTTTGGTTAATCCTAAAAATGTATACAACATTTGTTAGGCTCGGGAAGTTGAATCGAATGATCCCCCTTGAACGGG